ACAACAACTTATGTCAAGCTAGGCAACAACTCATGTCAAGCTAAACAACAACTCATGTCAAGCTAGGCAACAATTCATGTCAAGCTAAACAACAATTCATGTCAAGCTAAACAACAATTCATGTCAAGCTAAACAACAATTCATGTCAAGCTAAACAACAACTCATATCAAGCTAGGCAACAACTCATGTCAAGCTAGGCAACAACTCATGTCAAGCTAGGCAACAACACATGTCAAGCTAGGCAACAACACATGTCAAGCTAGGCAACAATTCATGTCAAGCTAGGCAACAACTCATGTCAAGCTAGGCAACAACTCATGTCAAGCTAGGCAACAACTCATGTCAAGCTAGGCAACAACTCATGTCAAGCTAGGCAACAACTCATGTCAAGCTAGGCAACAACTCATGTCAAGCTAGGCAACAACTCATGTCAAGCTAGGCAACAACTCATGTCAAGCTAGGCAACAACTCATGTCAAGCTAGGCAACAACTCATGTCAAGCTAGGCAACAACACAAGTCAAGCTAGGCAACAACTCATGTCAAGCTAGGCAACAACTCATGTCAAGCTAGGCAACAACTCATGTCAAGCTAGGCAACAACTCATGTCAAGCTAGGCAACAACACAAGTCAAGCTAGGCAACAACACAAGTCAAGCTAGGCAACAACTCATGTCAAGCTAGGCAACAACTCATGTCAAGCTAGGCAACAACTCATGTCAAGCTAGGCAACAACTCATGTCAAGCTAGGCAACAACACAAGTCAAGCTAGGCAACAACACAAGTCAAGCTAGGCAACAACTCATGTCAAGCTAGGCAACAACACAAGTCAAGCTAGGCAACAACACAAGTCAAACTAGGCAACAACTCATGTCAAGCTAGGCAACAACTCATGTCAAGCTAGGCAACAACTCATGTCAAGCTAGGCAACAACACATGTCAAGCTAGGCAACAACTCATGTCAAGCTAGGCAACAACTCATGTCAAGCTAGGCAACAACTCATGTCCAGGTGAGAATGTGACACGATGTCAAGACCGAGATGTTTCATTAAAAAATCGTGTCCTATTTTAGCAAGGATTATATCCATACAATTTTCTCCAATTATAGAGAATCATAGCATAATATCAACAAATGCTGCTTGTTTTTCTTTTTTTCAAAATGAATAATTATACAGTTTTCTGGCAAAAAAAAAGAGAAAAAAAAAATACCGTCAAGGATATAATAAATACCCTGACAAAAAAATTCAACAAGAACGGCATATTATGCTAAATCAGATATTACATGATAGAAATGGCGCCAAAAATTGTGGGCTAAAAAATTGTAAGCAGAAATAAACGGTTGCCTAAAGTAAGCACTTTCTGTTTTAAATATTTGTTGATACATTTCTCATTACGTTATATATGTTATTCAATATATTTGCCTCTGAGCTTTTTATTACGAACTAAAACAAGGCTTATGCCCCTTTAGCCTCCTTCAAACCCCCCCCCACCCCCCCCCCCCCTTTTTTTTTTCACCTTCCTTCCATAAACCAGTAAGGGGGCTTCCACATAGTTAATTTCTCCCCAATCTGTTGACTGTCTCACATTACTGAACTAAAAAAAAAAAATCCTCATGAATGTAAACTATATAGTTCACTTACTCGTTATTAACACAACTACAACAATGTACATAAAAATGTTGCACTCAAAAAGGTTTCAAGGAAAACAAAAGGAAAATTGGTTGTACTAAAATATTTCATATATGTGAGTTTTTGTCTCGCCTTTTATTTCTTCATATGAACATTTTCTTTCCATTTGATTCATGTGAACAAATTATGTGATTTTTTTTTTTTACAAAGCGAACACAAGTTACAAGTTCCGGGTAAAATAGGGCGGCAACAGTAACAAATATTCAGTCAGGTTGTGATTTACATAAAATGTTAAAAAATATTATTATTTGTATAAGAAAATGTTGACAAATGAAGACATTGTCTCCCAGGCAACAGTTATTATTATCCAACAAAACCAATTTAGAGATCACAGCTTTTGTGGAGACATTTGAAAAACGAAAATTGCTAGCAGGTGATTTTGTGTATGTACATGAGAACAAGAGCTGGGAGGGACACAGTTAACAGTATCAACAAGTAAAAAACTCTTGCCCACGTCTTCAGATGTAGTGGACATAGAGGACCAGACATGTCATTTAATATACCAGTCGGCAGTCTGTGGGTGATGTGTTCAGCATCACGCCGACCGTCTTTACTTTCCGGGGCTTTACCTGATAGCCATTTAGGGCTGGGTCGACCTGGGAGCCAAGGTATTTGAGAAACGTCTTGCTGGACCTGAAATCACGAGTTTCGGATCCGGAGGAGAGCGTCTAGCCGCTAGACCACGCTGGCTCCCGATGAACACAGTATATCAAGGATGAAACGAGTTTTAAATTCTGAGCAATCAAGTGACAACTTCAGCTGAAATCTCACCACAATTACCCGCTATACTGTACGGTACTCAAACACAAATGGACAACAACAACAAAATGTGAAGGTGAAAGTGAATGTGTCAAAACTCAGTTAAATGGTTGACAATTTGTAATGTATGATGACAGGAGAATAAAATTAGCACTGGAAAAAAAAGCGAGACTGAAGACAAACAACATGGAAAGAGATTAAGGCCCGACAACACAGATTCATCAGCACATATAAAGGGACACAATTTCTTTAAAAAAGAAAAAAAAAAGGGGGGGGGGGGGGGGGGGGGGGGAGAACAATATTCTGAAACGTGCATCGTATGTGTGTACATGGAAGACATTGTTACATCTTGGTGGTCTACGTCCACACACAGACCAGAAGTCCGTTTCAGTGAAAAGTCAAGCTCTCGGCTGCTGGAAGTTATGCCACGGCCTGTTTAACTATTGTATCACCAAGCAACCCGTTACATGTTGATTAGTTGCACTATACATGTTATACGTTTCGCAGTTTCTACTGTTACTTTTACCCTGTTACTTTTACCCTGTTACTTTTACGCTGTTACTTTTACGCTGTTACTTTTACGCTGTTACTTTTACGCTGTTACTTTTACCCTGTTACTTTTACCCTGTTACTTTTACCCTGTTACTTTTACCCTGTTACTTTTACCCTGTTACTTTTACCCTGTTACTTTTACGCTGTTACTTTTACCCTGTTACTTTTACCCTGTTACTTTTACCCTGTTACTTTTACCCTGTTACTTTTACCCTGTTACTTTAACCAATCCAGTCATCCTCTTGTGGGATGCAATTTTTCGTTATTTGAAGCCCCACTCTGGCTCTATAAATATGGTCTAATGGCTGAACGCGGTTTCCGGGACCTCTCCACGGGTGATCCTCATCCACATGCTGGCACTTTGTGTCATCGGGTGTTTATCGCTTGTGTGATGACCTGGGTGGGTAGAATGTACTGCTACTGTTACTGTAACCCATGCTAGGCTAGCTAGCAGCTGGTTCAACCTGCTCAAGATCATTTTTGTTTCATGACAAGGAAAAGGAACAGGATGACATTCTATACCAACTGCTGCTTTAACTCTATGTGTCCTATACTGAGAGTATGTCAGCACACTCCAACTGCTGCTTTAACTCTATGTGTCCTATACTGAGAGTATGTCAGCACCTTCAGACTTCAAGGCACATACAAGGGCACATAGAAGTGCTCAGTCAACAACTGTTTAGGACTATGTGTGTTTGTGTGTGCAAGAGAGAGAGAGAGAGAGAGAGAGAGAGAGAGAGAGAGAGAGAGAGAGAGAGAGAGAGAGAGAGAGAGAGAGAGAGAGAACGAACAAACGAACGAAAAAAACTTTATTTTGTTGAGAGAGAGAGAGAGAGAGAGAGAGAGAGAGAGAGAGAGAGAGAGAGAGAGAGAGAGAGAGAAACAGCGACCAAGAAGATAAGCAGGTAGGACTGTGAAAACAAACCCTGCTTTGTTTAGATATAATACAGCAAGAAAAACATAAATTCACCTCTATAGATCTACACTCTTAGAAATATCAGACAGCAGTAGAAAGCAGAAACCGCGCCACACAATAAAATCACTACAAACTATCACATGAATGATACTGACAAATACTTTAACAGATAATTTATATACGTAGTTAAAGGCGGCATCTTAACCGTCCTCACTTTCAGTGGTCAGCACAGAGTTCCAGTACTGATGGTACCGGTCACAATCTGGTTATATGTCCGTCTTGCCTTTCCTCTGAGTGTAGTGAGCCGGCTAGACCCTCTGGTTTCACCCAGGTGCCTCATTCTCTCCAGACCACAATAATCTTGTTTCTGTACTGATTCCGTTGCTTGTTCCAAAAGGGCGTTTTCAAAGAAATGAAAAAGGCGTTATCATCATCAACTCCTGTCCGGTCCAGACTACATATTATTTGTTAACCGTCGAGAGTCCTTGCATAACTTTACGGTTGAACGGAGTTCACCGGTATTTGTGACAGTAAAATTATCATCATCGGGGTGTAAGTTGGCGAACTACAATCCTGCAGGAACCAAATACTACCGCCATAAATGCTGTGCTTCCCAGCAGACAGCGCACTAGTTCTTACAGCTATAGCCGCCATCTTGCGGACTGGCGCCACCTGGCGGCTGCACAGAAGCCCTGACATGATTATTTTTTCACTTTGATCTTTTATCCCGCTTCTAACTTTAACTTGGTGTATTTACCTGAAGTATTCCGCAAGCCAATACTTTGAAGTTTGAAAGTACTCTCTTGCTTTAAAAACTCTGTACACTCACAAAATACCGATTTCCCGATAAATCAACATACATGAACATAATTTTTCTTGGCAACATCTTATCGTTCTACTTAATGCCAATAACTGATCACAACCCCGAAACCAGGTCTGCAACATATACAGGTGTAAGTGCAAAACAGGCACTGCTCGGGGGAGCAATGTGACCTTTAAACCCGCTTGAACTTTTCCTTAGCACAAACTTACAAACTATAAGGTAAATTAAAGCACATTTAAGACGAACTGTTATAGTAAGTTTTACCTGTATAGAAGATGTTGCGGTCTTGACTTTTAAGGGCTGTCAATAGAAAAACGCCTTTTCCGTCCACCTGGTTTGTAGTGTGCATGCATGCGTACAAGACGCCGTGCTTGTCATGAGTTTAAAAAATGCTGCCTGGCATAAAGATTATTTCCTCACCTGATTTTTGGACAAGTTCTCTAGCTTGATGTGGTTGGTTGGTTGGTTAAGAATATCTTCGCAACAAATGCAGATATCTCCATGGATCACAAAACAAACACTAAAGTAGAGAGCGGAAACCTAGCACGGTAAACCAGGATCAAAATATAAGTATAATCGAAATCCTATGTGCCGTAACAGTCGGTTTTTGCAGGCGGCGACTAAAGATGAAATGGGCTAAGCATATTTTGAGCTGAAGACGGGGCAAGCCGGGCAGTCAGTTTAACACCCCCCCCCCTCCTTTTTTTTTTCACCCCTCCAAATATTAAATAATTGATTAATATTATTGCTATTAAAAGTGCCTGGTGTAGCGGCTAGACGCTTGCTTGCGGATTGGAAGGTCGTGGATTCGGGTCCTGATGGAGCCTTTTCAAAAATGACCTTGGCTTACAGGTCGACCCAGCCTTGAGTGTGTACCAGGTCGACTAGCCTTGAGTGTGTACCAGGTCCACCCAGCCTTGAGTGTGTACCAGGTCCACCCAGCCTTGAGTGTGTACCAGGTGTAGTTCTGGGAAGAAATGCCGTGCTGTTGATCATATCACCGACGGAGTGCCGATTGGTCTGTAAAATAGAGGCCTGGCCCTGTGTGCCCAATACCCCTGAAAGCGTGGGAAAAGGACCTTGACTTGACTTACTATCAGAGGTATCTAAAGCTATTGACTCTAGTTAGGTCTACAGATATCTGTATGAGCTTTTGTTCTGTTCTCCAGCTTATCCCTAGATTGCTATAAAATGGGACAAGTGGCGTTACACATCCAGTAAAAAGGGAGGGCAGCCGATCAGCTAGGGTATTTGGCGACCATGGCAAGAGAAAGGTGTCAGAAATTTTTTCTAAGCCTGCATTAGTCATTGCTCAGTTTTGTGGTTACATTTAAGACATTGTAGTGCACAATCAGCAAGCCTGTTTAATTTATTTGCAAGTAAACTTTAAAGGATGGTCAAATGTCCGGCCATAGTGTGTAACTCTTGTAGTGTAAAACTCATTTTGTGAGAAAAATATTCAAATAACTATTATCCTAGGTGGCCATTAGTTAAAATTTCATAGATATGTTTTTTTTATGGTCAAGGAATCTAAATCTTTATCATACAAATCAGTTTTAGGCTTTAGACAGCACATAGTTATTTTAAAAAAAAACAAAAAAAACATGTACTCACGAAAGTAGTTTGAAGAAAAAAAAAGTTTTAGTACATAAACACATTTCCACTGTCTGCACCCCAGGCTTCCACTGTCTACATCCCAGGCTTCCACTGTCTGCATCCCAGGCTTCCACTGTCTACACCCCAGGCTTCCACTGTCTACACCCCAGGCTTCCACTGTCTGCATCCTAGGCTTCTACTGTCTGCATCCCAGGCTTCTACTGTCTACATCCCAGGCTTCCACTGTCTGCACACCAGGCTTCCACTGTCTCACCTGAAGGCTTACACTGTCTACATCCCAGGCTTCCACTGTCTACATCCTAGGCTTCCACTGTCTACATCCCAGGATTCCACTGTCTACACCCCAGGCTTCCACTGTGTGCACCCCCAGGCTTCCACTGTGTGCACCCCCAGGCTTCCACTGTCTACACCCCAGGCTTCCACTGTCTACACCCCAGGCTTCCACTGTCTACACCCCAGGCTTCCACTGTCTGCATCCCAGGCTTCCACTGTCTGCATCCTAGGCATCCACTGTCTCCATCCCAGGCTTCCACTGTCTACACCCCAGGCTTCCACTGTCTGCATCCCAGGCTTCCACTGTCTGTATCCTAGGCTTCCACTGTCTGTATCCCAGGCTTCCACTGTCTACATCCCAGGCTTCCACTGTCTGCATCCCAGGCTTCCACTGTCTCACCCCCAGGCTTCCACTGTGTGCACCCCCAGGCTTCCACTGTCTCAGCCCCAGGCTTCCACTGTCTCAGCCCCAGGCTTCCCCTATCTACATCCCAGGCTTCCACTGTCTACACCCCCATGCTTCCACTGTCTACACTCCAGGCTTCCCCTATCTACATCCCAGGCTTCCACTGTCTACACTCCAGGCTTCTACTGTCTACATCCCAGGCTTCCACTGTCTACACTCCAGACTTCCACTGCCTACACCAAAGTCTTCCACTGTCTACACCTCAGGCTTCCACTATCTACACCCCAGGCTTCCACTGTCTACACCCTAGGCTTCCACTGTCTACACCTCAGGCTTCCACTGTCTACACCCCAGGCTTCCACATAAGCCTTTTTTAGATTAATAAACTGATAATTGCTCTTGAATTGTCAAGTCCCCAGCTACCGTTGGGGTTTTTCAGTCAGTCATGTACGCTGTTATAGAAGTTTCAGTTTACGGCTAATTTAAAACCTTTGCCAGGTTTTTCCTCGCATTGTTCAGTTCCTGTTGTCACTTAAAGAATAGTGCTGATCAGGGATGAATGTTTGTGTAGGCTAACGCCCTTCTAATCTTCTTCAACAAAATGGAATTCACCTTGCACTATGCGGATGAGACGCTGCCACTTTAAAACCAAGTCGAGGGAGGACAAGAACGATAATTCCCATGTGGAAATGTCCCAAATTTTCCGTTATACTCTACACTTATGTCTACGTCTTCTGTCAATTAATTTCTAATGCAGTTGAGGGTTTTAAATACATGAATTCCCCCGTGTGGGTTTCAGGGGTCCCATGTGGTGGGGAATGGGGAGGGGGGCGGGGGGGGGGGGGGGGGGCAAAGAATAATCTACTCCCTAACAAGCATGTTGTAGAAATCTACTAAATAGGAGTGTTTCCTTCAAAGTGGGCGTGTATCCGCTGGAGAGGTAAGGAACTAACAGTCTACATACAGATGAGCCAGATCTGTGAAATGGATGTGCATGCCACACTAAAGTTTTGGAATAGGAATGAAGTCCAGAAGTGGATGAACAGCCACAACTTTCAGTCAGAGTTTACAATAGGTGAACACGAAGAAGAAGAAGGATATAATGTATTAGTGAATGAATGAATGAATGAATTAACATACATTCTCGCATGGGACTGCCAGATCTTCAGCAGCCAATAACAATGTTCAAAACAATGACATCAGTGAGAATACGATCACCCATGTTCACCTATCCCTCCTATATATGTATATCATCATAATAATCATCATATCCATCATCATCATCGCTATGTGTGTTCCACTGTGGGGAAAAGGAGTAGAGACTCAATGGTTGCTACCAAATGTGTCCTAATTAAGAGTTTCCTTCCAAGTAGGAGTACCTCAACCTGAAAGGCCAACAGTTTGTATACAAATAAACCAGATCTGTAAAACGGATGTGCACGCAACACTCAAGTTCTAGAATAAGACTTAAAATTGGAAGTGGATGAACAACCAAAACTTTCAACTGGATATTACCACCAGTAAAGCAAAAAAAGATCATGTCACCGCAGGTGGCGTAGATGCTCATTTTGATCCCCACATCTCAGTTCTTGGTATTATGAATCAACTTCACTAATGACATTCCTCCATTTCATCGCTTCAGGCCATCAAGCATTCCTCCATGTCATTGCTTCAGGTCATCAAGCATTAATCCATGTCATCGCTTCAGGCCATCAAGCATTCCTCCATGTCATCACTTCAGGTCATCAAGCATTCCTCCATGTCATCACTTCAGGTCATCAAGCATTCCTCCATGTCATTGCTTCAGGTCATCAAGCATTCCTCCATGTCATCACTTCAGGTCATCAAGCATTCCTCCATGTCATTGCTTCAGGTCATCAAGCATTAATCCATGTCATCGCTTCAGGCCATCAAGCATTCCTCCATGTCATCACTTCAGGTCATCAAGCATTCCTCCATGTCATTGCTTCAGGTCATCAAGCATTCCTCCATGTCATCACTTCAGGTCATCAAGCATTCCTCCATGTCATTGCTTCAGGTCATCAAGCATTCCTCCATGTCATCGCTTCAGGTCATCAAGCATTCCTCCATGTCATCACTTCAGGTCATCAAGCATTCCTCCATGTCATCACTTCAGGCCATCAAGCATTCCTCCATGTCATCACTTCAGGTCATCAAGCATTCCTCCATGTCATCACTTCAGTCCATCAAGCATTACTCCATGTCATCACTTCAGGTCATCAAGCATTCCTTAATGTCATCACTTCAGGTCATCAAGCATTCCTCCATGTCATCAAGCATTCCTCCATGTCATCACTTCAGGTCATCAAGCATTCCTCAATGTCATCACTTCAGGTCATCAAGCATTCCTCCATGTCATTGCTTCAGGTCATCAAGCATTCCTCCATGTCATCACTTCAGTCCATCAAGCATTACTCCATGTCATCACTTCAGGCCATCAAGCATTCCTCCATGTCATCGCTTCAGGTCATCAAGCATTCCTCCATGTCATCACTTCAGGTCATCAAGCATTAATCCATGTCATCGCTTCAGGTCATCAAGCATTCCTCCATGTCATCCCTTCAGGTCATCAAGCATTCCTCCATGTCATCGCTTCAGGTCATCAAGCATTCCTCCATGTCATCGCTTCAGGTCATCAAGCATTCCTCCATGTCATCACTTCAGGTCATCAAGCATTCCTCCATGTCATCACTTCAGGTCATCAAGAACTCCTCCATGTCATCACTTCAGGTCATCAAGAACTCCTCCATGTCATCACTTCAGGTCATCAAGCATTCCTCCATGTCATCACTTCAGGTCATCAAGCATTCCTCCATGTCATCACTTCAGGTCATCAAGCATTCCTCCATGTCATCACTTCAGGTCATCAAGCATTCCTCCATGTCATCGCTTCAGGTCATCAAGCATTCCTCCATGTCATCACTTCAGGTCATCAAGCATTCCTCCATGTCATCACTTAAGGTCATCAAGCATTACTCCATGTCATCACTTCAAGTCATCAAGCATTCCTCCATGTCATCACTTCAGGTCATCAAGCATTCCTCCATGTCATCGATTCAGTCCATCAAGCATTACTCCATGTCATCACTTCAGGTCATCAAGCATTACTCCATGTCATCACTTCAGGCCATCAAGCATTCCTCCATGTCATCGCTTCAGGTCATCAAGCATTCCTCCATGTCATCGCTTCAGGTCATCAAGTATTACTCCATGTCATCACTTCAGGTCATCAAGCATTCCTCCATGTCATCACTTCAGGCCATCAAGCATTCCTCCATGTCATCACTTCAGGCCATCAAGCATTCCTCCATGTCATCACTTCAGGTCATCAAGCATTCCTCCATGTCATCGCTTCAGGTCATCAAGCATTCCTCCATGTCATCACTTCAGGCCATCAAGCATTCCTCCATGTCATCACTTCAGGTCATCAAGAACTCCTCCATGTCATCACTTCAGGTCATCAAGCATTCCTCCATGTCATCGCTTCAGGTCATCAAGCATTCCTCCATGTCATCACTTCAGGTCATCAAGCATTCCTCCATGTCATCGCTTCAAGTCATCAAGCATCATCTCTCTCTGGCTGCATCTGCCTCCTCTACCATTGATCTCTGCCATCACGATGTTCTTCAGTGCCTCATGTCTCACCAAGTAACCCCAAAGTAACTGAATATAACTTGTACATATTAAATAAAACTAGGGGTTGCGGTTCATAGGTAAAGGGTAACAAAGGTCACATATATAAACATGTAAAACATAACGTGCAATAGGTCAATGCACAAAATCAACACCAGGAAAGCACCAAGCATTCATTATACAAATATAGATGTAAATTCTCACATTTAATCATCCTGCATCACTTAATAATGAAATATTAATTCTCTGATTATTTTGTCCTCTACCGTCACTCAACATTGTATACTTATATGTTCACACTCAACATTGTATACATATATGTTCACACTCAACATTGTATACTTATATGTTCACACTCAACATTGTATACTTATATGTTCACACTCAACATTGTATACTTATATGTTCACACTCAACATTGTATACTTATATGTTCACATGTTTCTCATTACTGTTTATAAATTCATCGAGATGAAAGAAAATATGTGCGTGATATCAAGGTATTCACAACAACTAGAAGAGTTCAAACAAGTGAGTGGAATGGGTCGAAGCTATACTGTCTTTTATTCACATGGAAATCAAACAAGGGGATGGTCCTGCAACAAATGCCTTCATCAGCTGTCCTCCATGAGGGGTTCATCAATGTTTGCATCAGAAGAGACTTTTCTGTGAAAGAGACACAAACAGAAGACATGATAAACATGCTGTGTCTGTGAGTGTGATTGTGTGTTTGTGACAGATTGGAGGTGAGGTGGGGTGAGGGAGGGAGGAAAAGGGGGGGGGGTGTTAAGTGTATAAAAATTTAGAAAAGAAGTCTTGTAAAGATGTGTTTTTGACTACAAATAGTCTGACTATTGAGTTCACGGCAGTGACCAAAGCAAAACATTACTAGAGACACAGACCATTACTGGCGCATGTTTCTTCAGTGACAAAAAAAAAAAGAAGAAGAAGGAGGAGAAAAAGGAGGTGGAGGAGAAAAAGGAGAAGGAGGAGAAAAAGATGGAGCAGTAAAGAAGAAGGAGGAGGAAAAGAAAAAGGAGGAGGAGGAGAAGTAGAAGGAGAAGGAAAAAGAAGAGAGGAAGGAAGAGGAAGAGAAGAAAAAGAAGAAGAAGAAGAAGAAGAAGAAAAAGAAGAAGAGGAAGAAGAAGAAGAAGAAGAAAAAGAAAATGAAGAAGAAACAGCAGCAGGAAAAGAGAATGAAGCAGATGTAAAATAACCGAAACAAGGGAGATAATTCAATTAACCTTGCACCAGAAAAGAAGGTCTGCATGGATACCTTGCCCCTGATGTCAGCTGCTGGTTTAAAAATAACTACTAGGAATTTTCTGAGATCTAAAGGCAGCTGGCATGAGGCTCTAACAACACAGGATACGCACTACGAGCTTAGATTGTTCCAAGGTATGTAAAGGGAGCCGTAGTTTACTTATTATTACAATGTTTGCTTTATCATATAGACAACCCAGACGTCTCCCCAGCCCCTTCTAGACTAGGGGTTACTTGGTGAGCGTTTTGTGCCGCATCAGTTTAACTGTGCTTTATGGCTACATGGATGAGCAGTGTTTCTGGGATATGACCGGTCTGAGAGTGCAATCCTGAGAACAAATCTCCCCCACCCACCCTGGGCTACAACTGTCATGGAAAGTGTTTGTATCTAGTCTACGGGCTTTGCAAAGTCATGAGGGCATCTGACCAAGTTGTGCCCTAGAGGACCACTGGTGCCAGTAGCATGAGTTACCTCATCCTTGGAGTCGGTTGGATAGTTTTGGGACCGCGGGAATTCTGCCTAGACCAACAATACACTACTCTGCCTAGACCAACAATATACTACTCTGCCTAGACCAACAATATACTACTCTGCCTAGACCAACAATATACTACTCTGCCTAGACCAACAATATACTTCTCTGCCTAGACCAACAATATACTACTCTGCCTGGACCAACAATATACTACTCTGCCTAGACCAACAATTTGCTACTCTGCCTAGACCAACAATATACTACTCTGCCTAGACCAACAATATACTACTCTGCCTAGACCAACAATTTACTACTCTGCTTAGACCAACAATATGTTACTCTGCCTAGACGAACAATATACTACTCTGCCTAGACCAACAATATGCTACTCTGCCTAGACTAACAATATGCTACTGTGCCTAGACCAACAATATGCTTCTGTGCCTAGACCAACAATATACTACTTGTCCTATACCAACAATGTACTACTTTTCTTAGACCAACAATATACTACTTTTCCTAGACCAACAATATACTAATTTGTGGCATGAAGGGGAGAGGACACAAAATCTCAACCCTGGCAAGATGGGGGCAAGTTCGTGGTATGTACCTTGTTTTATTCTCATCCTTGAAAGGTGTTAGTTCTACAGACTGCAATCTCACAGTGTAAAAACTCAAATAAATATTACAAAATAATCTTCCCTATAGAATGAACAGTTTTCTTACATAAATAAATCACCTCAAGCAGAAAGAATGATGAAACATTCGTGTCCGGTTACCTTTTCATGATGTGGTTGAAAGACTCCGGGGCAGAATTTGAGCGGCCAGATTTCTGGAAATCTTCTTTGACACTGGCACTAAGTTTGACTCCAATGAATGGATTTCGGAAAGACTTCTGTTTCAGGATTTTTTTCACCATGATCTGAAAATGTCACAGATTTCTGACCTTTTTGAACATTTTATGGCACAAATAAAAAAAGACAATTATATAAACAATATTTATTCTCTGTTAGATAATGTCAGATGCTCAAACAAGAACAATAACCACAATGGAAAGAAATGCAGGTGTATGACTTGTGAAGTAGAAGTGCAACAAATACAAAACAGTACAAGTCACAACCACTGAGACTGCCTGCATGTAATACTGATTGGTGTTGTTTAGGGAGGAGGGACAGGGGGTGGAGGGTGGAGGGATCGAGGGACAGGGGGTGGAGGGACAGGGGGTGGAGGGAAAGAGGGACAAGGGGTGGAGGGTGGGGGAAGGAGGGACAGGGGGTGGAGGGTGGGGGAAGGAGGGACAGGGGGGTGGAGGGTGTGGGGAAGGAGGGACAGGAGGTGAAGAGTGGGGGAAGGAGGGACAGGGGGTGGGGGGAAGGAGGGACAGGGGGTGGACGGTGGGGTATGGAGGGACAGGGGGTGGACGGTGGGGTATGGAGGGACAGGGGGTGGAGGGTGGGGGGAAGGAGGGACAGGGGGTGGACGGTGGGGGGAAGGAGGGACAGGAGGTGGAGGGACAGGGGGTGGAGGGTGTATTACATTCAAAGTGTGATAGCATTACATTCAAAGTGTAAGTGTGTTACATTCAAAGTGTGGTAGTATTACATTCAATGTGTGGTAGTATTACATTCAAAGTGTGGGAGCATTACATTCAAATGTGGGTGTATAACATTTAAACTGTGTTGGTAATTTCTTTAAATTGTAGGTGTTTTACATTTCAACTCTGGTGTGTGAGTGTATACATTAAAACTTGCTGTATTACATTTGAAGAACTGATGCATTACTTTCAAAGTATGATTGGGCAGACACTCCATTTTTGTGGGGTGTTGTTGGAAGAGGAAGGTGAGACTGAGTGGATTTCGTCAAAAGTACCTATTATTTTTCCTTTTTGTGTGTGTGTGCGTGTGTGTGTGTCAGTGTGTGTGTGTGCGTGTGTGCGTGTCTGTGTGTGTGTCTGTGTGTGTGTGTGTCTGAGTGTGTGTGTGTGTGTGTGTGTGTGTGTGCGTGGAGACAGATTATTTTGGTGTGATACTACTACTTTATGGGAGAAATTAAATTTTGAGCAGGGATTTTTTGGTGGGTCTGTGAGAATGTCTGTATACACGTGTATGTGTGAGGAGTTTTGTGCATGTGTGCGGGAGCAGGGGTGTAGGAGGAGGGAGATAAGGATTATGTATACTGTGAGAAGATGCTACCTATATTTGGAACACAATGTGAAGGGTATGCATTCTGAGCGCTGCACAAACTCACCAGTGTTTCAATCTTGGGAACATGTCTGACAACATTCTCAAGGTCATCCTCGGTCACCGTAATCAGCTCACAGTTGACCTCTTCTGAAGGTAATGTAAACTGACCTTGACATGTGACCCACGGATGTTCCTATATCAGTCACAATATTTAAAAGAAAAGCATTTCATAAACTTGTGAGGTGAAAAAGAAATGAAATGACAAATTAATGGTTTATTCTGTTCCCAGATCTCTGTCATGTTGTAACCCATTATCAAATTGGTGGATGTTATTTAGTACACATGACAGAATCACTAAGTGAAATTGATACAAGCGAATCTTTTAGGATGTATTTTATTTCATGTAATAACAGATAGCAGTTTTTGACTTCAATCTTCATCATTTATTTATTTTTTATTTTTTTTCAAATCTTGGTAATCTTGGTAAACTTGGTAATCTTAGTAATCTTAGTAATGTTAGTTTCAGCTTCATAGCAAATTGGTCACCCCATCTTTGCTCCGCTCCTGTACCAACGAAAAACACACAGAATGTTTATCACAGTCCCTTGTGGAAAGATTGACGAGGGGGTTTTGAGCTGGAGCAACTCTAGGGTGGTGTAATAGAAGAGGGTTTTGAGCTGGAGCAACTCTAGGGTGGTCTAAGACAAGTGCGCTTTGAGCTGGAGGAACTTTAGGGTGGTGTAGTAGAAGAAGGTTTTGAGCTGGAGGAACTTTAGGGTGGTCTAAGACAAGAGGGTTTTGAGCTGGAGGAACTCTAGGGTGATGTAAGACTAGGCTGGTCATGAGCCATGGTGCAGCTGCCACAGACTGGATAAGTTAGGATGTTTAATGTTGTCCCTGAAAAGAAAACTTTCACCACTTTACAAAGAATTCAAACCCATGCCTCTAACATGACAGTCCAGCAATAAACCCACTCTGCAAGCTGAGTGCCACAAAATACATAAAAAAATGCCAAAAATGGAAAACAACCACAATGAAAAGAAGCATGAGTATATCACAGTCAACGAGAGGGAAAGGAAAGGGAAGTAAAACATATAATCAGACTTTACTGGTACAATCAGGACTGGAATTCTGACTTGGCTGCTGAAGATCGGTACAGAGTATTTATGGGCATATCTCAAGTTCTGTGATGCTGGTTCTTAGCTTATTTCAGAGGCGATGTCACAGAAGTGCCGTAGATAGCATGCCTACCAGCCAACCTGGCAGTCAGTGGTTGGATTCTCAGATGGGTATTTGTCAAATTTACCCCAGCTGCCAGTGCAACGAAGAACAATAGCAGGTATCAGGAAATAGGGGAAGTCAAGGTGGCAGGTGTTATCAAGTTTCCATAATTTCCAAACAAAATGTTTCTATAGTCAACACAGTTTATTGCCACGTATATTCCTCTGCATCTAGTCAGGTACATTACCACAGAGTTAAATAATAAAGCACAAAAACTCTGAATTACAAATGGTGTCTTGTGATCCATTGTTTGTACAAACACTGTGTGTTTATGATAGTCATGTGACTTACTAGGGTAACCTAAAATTTGTAATTTATTGCTTCTGTTTACACGGGGAAAGGAGGGGGTGGGGGGGGGGGGGGGGGGGGGGGGGTATTTGACTGTTCACTGTGTCATAAATGACAAGGAAAGTATTCTCCGTGATAACTACATGTCAACAGTCAACTACATGATATCCTACAGAAGAGGTATGTTCTTTCCTGTTGGTTGATCTTGACGTCTTGTGGAATCACTCAGCTGTGAGAAGAGGTATGTTCTTTCCTGTTGGTTGATCTTGACGTCCTGTGGAATCACTCAGCTGTGTATGGAGCCAGAATTTCCAACATCCAGAAGCCCAGCAAACAAGAACAAAGAACAAATATGATCCTTCATACAGTTCAGGTTTTGTGCACAGATTTATAATTACCTTAATACTGGGTAATGTAATCCGTGTCGCAGGGTTCTTATCCAACATCCGCAGGATTAAATCCTTTAACTCATCACTGACAATGGGTCTGTGGAGTCAGCAGATACAAAACTGTAATCTAATGTGAATACATTATACTGGAATGCAGAAAACAAATGTAATAATTGGATATTTCATGATTAGAGCTGGATAGACTTTGACTTTGCAAATAAATTTAAAGACTTAAAACATCAATCATAGAATATCCAATGATCAACAAATAATAAACACATAATTGTAAGCATGTCTAGGAATGCTCCATCCCAGTTCAAGTCAACTATATTAGACATTGGACACATTGCAATTACTTCTTTCCTGGGACATCAATGAAGAACAAACTCAGAGACCTTAAATATGTTGTTTTATGAGATGTGTTATTTTATTTCAAAAACTGACAGTCCTCCTTTCAAACAGTGCAAAAGGAATAAAACATTTCATCTGGTCAGTCCAAAAACACAGTAAAGATCAAAATCTGTTCCTGAATTTAAAGAAAACAAAAATGAAGTTCACAGGTAAAACTGCATGTCATCCTAAAATTAAAAATAAAAGGTGAAGAAATTGCTGCTTTTGGAAGGATAAGGCAAATCTGGAAGTCCAACAGTTGTTACAGAGGAACAAAACTCTGATTCTACAAGAGCATCATTTTGCCAGTTCATCTTTATGGAGCAGAATGCTGGAAAATGATCAAACAGGATGTGCACAAGCTATCCACATTCCCCCCCCCCCCCCTCTTCCCCCACATGTCTATGCAGAATTATTAACATTTTCTGGCTAGATATAATTTCAAACACCAAACTACTTCAAGTCACAAACCAAGAAACTTTAGACAGTATAATTACAAAGAGAAGATGGAAATGGCTTAGCAACATCATGAGAATGAATCCTGATATACCTGCCAAAACAGCTTTCATTCAACACCAGAGACAAAGAGAAAAAAGGGGTGCCCAAAAACAACATGGAGACGAACGATGGAAAGTGACCTGAGTGCGGCATCTCTGACATGGAACACTGCCCTGAAGATTGCACAGGACAGGAAAGCATGGAATGTTCTCTCTGAAGCCTCATGTGCCACCAGGCATAAAGAGAATTGATAATGACTTATTGATAATAAACAATTATGGAGACTGTTCAACGGAAGTTTGCAAGAACAATGGCCATAGCATTGCAAAGACTCAATAGCATAACAAATGCATTCCTCCTGTAGCAATATGTGGTTATGAGTTTCATTCAGACCTGCTGTCATTTAAGCAAAGAAATGGATTTGCTGCATAATGATGATGATTTTTAGAAGTTTTCCAATATGCTCAATTAAAATTGAGAAAATTTTGTTTTAGGACACTTATAAAGACACAGAGGTCTGGAAATGATAATCATGGTGATATTCTGGAAAAGTGATGATGAGAAAGACATAACCTATTTGGCAGCAATAAAGGCAGGGCATCTGGCTTATAAAACACAGTGTTTGTTCTGTACACTCTGTATACAAAATAAATCTAAAAAAGAAAAAGAAAAGAAACAAAAACATGACTATATCCAAAACTGTGCTGAAATGGGTTATTAACTCTTTGAGTCCCAGGGGGTTTAGCATCAGAGGCCCAAGGCGTAGTCAAAAGAGATGTAAAATCTGCGCATCTTGCATTCATTGGGCCTCTAGGCGGGACCTATATACATATGATGCGTTCCTTGGGACTCAAAGAATTAAATTAGTTACAATAGTCACTGCTATGGTTGAGTGCTATTTTTGGGAAGCTGCAAAGAACCAATGAAATATTGATTATAACAGGTGTTGGAAATTTCCACCTAGGGCTTCAAGACATGACTGTACAGGGTCTTTTCATACTGCCAAATATCTATTGCAACATGTCTGTACAGGTCTCTTCATACTGCCAAATATCTATTGCAACATGTCTGTTGTTATTTCTTGAACAATAACATCATTCTATTTTGAGTTCAAAAAATTACCCAAACAGATGATACTAATTCACTCTATACTGTTTCACCACTCACTGCGGAGCACATGTTTTGATGATGTCACGTAGATTACACATCTAAACTGTACAAGACCAGCTGCTGGCTGATGATGACTTTTACGATAATGATGATGATGATGTTTATGATGATTATGATGTTTATGATGATGATGTTTAAGATGATGGTGTTTATGATGATGATGTTGTTTATGATGTTGGTGTTTATAATGATGATTTTGTTTATGATGACATTTATGATGATGATGTTTATGATGATGATGATGTTTATGATGATGATGTTTATGATGTTGGTGTTTATGATGATGATTTTGTTTATGATGACATTTATGATGTTTATGATGATGATGATGTTTATGATATTTATGATGATGATGTTTATGATGATGAGTTATCTGTGAATCTTCCCATGCAGCTGTTTTAAACTATTTTAAATCTTTGAAATTTTTTCCAATTCTGGACAACCACTGTAAAGACAAAGAAGACTGTTATACTGCCTTGAGCTCTGAAGATCAGATTCCAGTTTTCAGACTGTCTGAGGAAGTTTCATGAGCATAGGAACACATCACCCCCACCCAATCCCTCATTTGCAAGGCCTAGATATCTGGCAACTGTCTCACGAGGAGTATGGAAAATACCCCCACCTACCCACCACATATACAACGCCCTAGACATGTGGTAACTATATACACCAGGATACAGGCTAAAGAAGAAATGGTCTTCTGGAGAGAACTAAGCTCCGCCAGGGTTGAAATACTGCCTAAGAAACAGCACGTTCACTGAGAGATTGGATTATTCTACACTGGCTTGATCGTTGCCTGGGTTACCAAGGACAGCAGCATCCATCACTGATAATTCAAAAGCTGTGCAGTGCGGGTATATAATAAGACTCACCGGCCTCTCCAGAACAAAACAAGGAGGTTCAGGAGAAAGCAACAGGTAGATCAAGAAAGACCTGGAAACAGAGCTTGGCTCCATGGACAGGCCTAAAACAAGCAAACATGAAGTCAATGGTATTTGACTGACAGAGTTGGAGGGAACTGATCAGATGATCAACAGCAACAATGATGTGCTATCTTACAGGTTATGGGATTTTGATGATTGTAAGACATCTTCATGTTCACAGGTAATAACTCTGGCAGAAATTTCTAGTTGTTCATCCACATCTGGACTTTAGTATTGTTTCAGAACCTGAGTGTTATATGCACATCTGATTTACAGATCTGGCCTCTCAAGCAGATGCACTCCAACTCAGAAGGAAGCTCCCAAATATTCTACTCTTATGAAATGTCAAACTCTTAGAATATGTTTGTTGGGGTAGCAGTGAGTTTACTCTTGTTTCCCTTACACTTGGGTCCCGGAACCCAAACGTGGAATATGGCACTTGAGACCCCAACAGCAATGTCTGCAAAAGAACTACTGAATAATTTATCAATATGTATTCTTTTATTAGCACACAGAATTTCCAGAAAATTCAAAAATTGTTCAGTTTCCCCACATTTTGTGTTTGTAAAGCTCTTCTGGTCAGGAATAATTATCCAGCCACTCTTGGGATTAAATCCAGATTGTTGGCAACGTAGGCCAATAAACTATAAAAGATTATATATATCTTCAAAAGAAGAAGAAGATATAAATCTCAGTGCTGGCACATAATAATCTGACAGGAAATTATCTGGATGAAAAACAAAAAAAAACATCTGAAATTAGAGCGAATAATATCTCAAGCAAAAAATTATTTCCCTTTACAAAAGAGCTCCAATCACCTACTTGTCTGGAAATCGAACAGGGTCCTTGAGAATTTTCTTGTGCAGTCCTAGAACATATTCTTCTTCAAAAGGCACTTTCCCATAAGTAAAACAGAACAAGGTCACACCCATGGCCCATATATCCAAAGCCTGAAAAATAAACAATGGAAAAAAATATATCAGGATATGACATAAGACAATCCATAATATCATTTAGATGAAATTACAAAGAGTTCACAGGTCACTAAATATGGGGCATTGTCAGAAATATCAGTTTTCTCTTTCATTACATTTTTTGTTTGTTTGCTTGTTGCTAAAAGGCATTAATGAGGAAGGTCAACTTTGTTGGAAACTGTGGATGTTGCTTGGGCATGGGTGTATGTATGCGAGTATTAGTGTGTGTATTTCATCTGAATGTGTGATTCTTTGCATATTTTTGTGTGTGTATTTACATCTATGAATATTTTTGTATATATGCAATTGTGTTTGTATCTGTGTGTATATGTATGTAAGTGTGTGTTTGTGTTTGACGGTGTACTATGAAATCTTATTTTATTGTATTCTTCATTGATAAAAGATGTAACTAAAAACAAATCTATCAATATGTGTATGTGTCTACAGTCTGCATAAGAAACACATCTTATTAGTGAGAAAGAAAAACATAAAAGACAGACAGACAGACAGGCAGACAGACAGACAGACAGACAGACAGACAGACAGACAGACAGACAGACAGACAGACAGACAGACAGACAGACAGACAGACAGACAGACAGACAGACAGACAGACAGACAGACAGACAGACAGACAGACAGACAGACAGACAGACAGACAGACAGACAGACAGACAGACAGACAGACAGACAGACAGACAGACAGACAGGCAGACAGACAGACAGACAGACAGAGAGAGACAGACAGACAGAGAGAGAGAGAGAGACAGACAGACAGACAGACAGACAGACAGACAGACAGACAGACAGACAGACAGACAGACAGACAGACAGACAGACAGACAGACAGACAGACAGACAGACAGACAGACAGACAGACAGACAGACAGACAGACAGACAGACAGACAGACAGACAGACAGACAGACAGACAGACAGACAGACAGACAGACAGACAGACAGACAGATATTAAAGATGCATGTAAACAAGAAGAAAAAAATTAAAGAAAGGAGATTTTAAAAAGTTAGACAATATACAAATTTACTGTGAGAGAAGAGATATTTATATATAAAGAGAGAGAGAGAGAGAGAGAGAGAGAGAGAGAGAGAGAGAGAGAGAGAGAGAGAGAGAGAGAGAGAGAGAGAGAGAGAGGGTGAGACAGAAAGAGAGGGGGTTAGTAAGAGAGAGACAAGGTGAGAGAGGGGGTGAGAGAGAGAGATGTAGAGAGGGGGTGAGAGACAGAAATACAAAATTATAGAAAGAAAAGGACACACAGAAAGAGAGAAAGGAAGGAAGAAAAAAGAATGAAAGAAAGAAAGGTCCTAGAGACAGAAAGAAAGACTTAAGAAAATAAGAAAGAAAAGGACACAGTAACAGAAATAAAGAAAGAAAGATAATTAAAAAATGCAGGCTGGCAGATGGACAGGAAGATAGAAAGAAAAAAAAGAAAGAAAGAAAATCACCAAACATCACACTGGCACTACAGTACCTTGCCCTGAAAGTTCTGCAAGTCGTCCTTCAAGGTCTCTGGCGCCATGAAAGCTGGAGTCCCTGCTGAGCTGGTGAGGGAGGCATCGCCCCCACTGAACTCATTGCTCACCCCAAAGTCTGCAATCTGGGGACACCCACCACATACAATTAATCAAGAGAAAAATGGGCAGGCACAGAAAGCCATAGGAATTGATACAACTACATTTCTTTCTTAGTCATGTAATTGCAACCGGTGGCAGAATTGAAGAAGGAAATCACAAAGAGAAATGGTATTGGTAAAACATTTTCAGCAATATGGAACATTATCAATAACTACAGAGATTGAAGAGCTGGGATAACACAGCTCTGGTGCTTCGTTGGAGACTAGAGTCAAAATGGTTACATTTTCTCAGGAACTGCAAACTGCAGATAGTACATAGATATTGTTGGAACAGACCACTCATTGTTGGGAATAATCACACACCGTTGGAACAGATCACATATTATTGTAATGTTTCACTTTTTTTTTAGAACAGATCACATATTTTTGAAATTCATTACACAATACTAGCTGAAACATGTCAAACATTGATCACAGATTGTTGGATTAGGTCATACGTTACTGAAATACCTCATACATTGCTGGATGTGATTATAGATTGTTGGAACAGGTCATACGTTACTGAAATACCTCATACATTGCTGGATGTGATCATAGATTGTTGGATTAGGTCATACGTTACTGAAATACCTCATACATTGCTGGATGTGATCAAAGATTGTTCAAAGAATATACAAGAATTAAAAAAACATTTGCTGTGTACCTTAATGTGGCCATCATCAGCAAGGAGAAGGTTGGAGGGCTTCACATCTCGGTGAATAATCTTTTGGTAGTGCACTACAAGTGATGAAAAACATATAAACAATGTCCAAATAAAATATAAGGTGATTAACAATAAGGTGATTGTTTTTATTGCACTATCTTTTATTTCATCTGGCTCAGTCTTTCTTGCAGAATAGCAGCTCAGAGTGTCACACAAAGCATGAACTCTGAGTCTCCAGCACTGACCCCTCCAGAAACAACTCTCTCATGAACAAAATGAGATTTTGAAAACTGGAATCTGATCTTCAGAGCTCAAGGCAATTGATATGAATACTTTGCCATGAAGACTTCCTACACTTCTGCTTCCTTCCATTGGTTTTCAGATGACAAGGATATAATCTCTATAAAAGCTTTTGTGCGATGCAGATCTCCCACTCAGCAGCACAGCGCGGTTTCCCCCAAAATGATAACCAGACCTGTGACTTCCCCCGCTGCATGTGTCAAGCATGTCCTGCAGTCATCTGCCAAACCAGACCTGTGAATTCCCCCGCTGCATGTGTCAAGCATGTCCTGCAGTCATCTGCCAAACCAGACCTGTGACTTCCCCCGCTGCATGTGTCAAGCATGTCCTGCAGTCATCTGCCAAACCAGACCTGTGACTTCCCCCGCTGCATGTGTCAAGCATGTCCTGCAGTCATCTGCCAAACCAGACCTGTGACTTCCCCTGCTGCATGTGTCAAGCATGTCCTGCAGTCATCTGCCAAACCAGACCTGTGACTTCCCCCGCTGCATGTGTCAAGCATGTCCTGCAGTCATCTGCCAAACCAGACCTGTGACTTCCCACGCTGCATGTGTCAAGCATGTCCTGCAGTCATCTGCCAAACCAGACCTGTGACTTTGCCCGCTGCATGTGTCAAGCATGTCCTGCAGTCATCTACCAAACCAGACCTGTGACTTTGCCCGCTGCATGTGTCAAGCATGTCCTGCAGTCATCTGCCAAACCAGACCTGTGACTTCCCCTGCTGCATGTGTCAAGCATGTCCTGCAGTCATCTGCCAAACCAGACTTGTGACTTCCCCCGCTGCATGTGTCAAGCATGTCCTGCAGTCATCTGCCAAACCAGACCTGTGACTTCCCCCGCTGCATGTGTCAAGCATGTCCTGCAGCAATCTGCCAAACCAGACCTGTGACTTTGCCCGCTGCATGTGTCAAGCATGTCCTGCAGTCATCTGCCAAACCAGACTTGTGACTTCCCCCGCTGCATGTGTCAAGCATGTCCTGCAGTCATCTGCCAAACCAGACCTGTGACTTCCCCCGCTGCATGTGTCAAGCATGTCCTGCAGCAATCTGCCAAACCAGACCTGTGACTTTGCCCGCTGCATGTGTCAAGCATGTCCTGCAGTCATCTGCCAAACCAGACCTGTGACTTCCCCCGCTGCATGTGTCAAGCATGTCCTGCAGCAATCTGCCAAACCAGACCTGTGACTTTGCCCGCTGCATGTGTCAAGCATGTCCTGCAGTCATCTGCCAAACCAGACCTGTGACTTCCCCCGCTGCATGTGTCAAGCATGTCCTGCAGTCATCTACTAAAAGCTGCCATTATTGCTTGTATCTACCCCTTCTGTGTTGTAGGGTGTTGAGATGGTGGGAGGGCTCTTTGAGGCTAAAGATTTAGGGTTGCATCTCTAGTACTGTCCCCCCCCCCCCCCCTTCCCAACATCCCATGGGGTGCCAGAACCCACACATAGATTTATTTTCAATCCTGTGCTATTGTACCAGTATCATGGACTGAATCCAGTTCATCATCCTTGGCCTCTCTTACCATCGCAGATTTCAGGGTTTTTTTCAGAGGTCATCATTATCTCAATCCATCTGACCTGTTTGATGATCCTCTGTTGGCTTCTCTGTTCATTTCCAGTTCATCATCATCTTCTTTGTCATTCAACTGTTGGTACCAGAAGTCGCCCATAGATTTGCCAGGTATTTGCTTTGAAATGCATTTAATGTTAACTTTCAGTTCATATCTTTGGTGTGTTTTCTTTAATTTTCAACTGCATTTAAAAAAAAATCAACATTGAAATAAAAAAATCTGCAACTTTGTTTTATATGTATACAACTGAGACTTCAATATTTTATTCAGGCTTTGAGAAGTTGCTGTTGCCTTGCCACTTTGTATAATACTCTTTTTCTTTACGACACTCATATAAACAACCATTTATTGTTTTTTCTTTATGACACTTATATAAACATCCATTTATTGTTTTTTTCTTTATGACACTTATATAAACAACCATTTATTTTTTTTTCTTTATGACACTTATATAAACATCCATTTATTGTTTTTTTCTTTATGACACTTATATAAACAACCATTTATTGTTTTTTCTTTATGACACTTATATAAACAACCATTTATTGTTTTTTCTTTATGACACTTATATAAACATCCATTTATTGTTTTTTCTTTATGACACTTATATAAACAACCATTTATTGTTTTTTCTTTATGACACTTATATAAACATCCATTTATTGTTTTTTTCTTTATGACACTTATAAAAACAACCATTTTTTTTTCTCTTTATGACACATATAAACAACCATTTATTATTTTTTCTTTATGACACTTATATAAACATCCATTTATTGTTTTTTTTTTCTATATGACACTCATATAAACAACCATTTATTGTTTTGTTTTTTAAGACACTTATATAAACAACCATTTATTGTTTTTTTTCTTTATGACACTTATATAAATGACCATTTATTGATTTTTTCTTTATGACACTTATACAAACAACCATTTATTGATTTTTTCTTTATGACACTTATATAAACAACCATTTATTGTTTCTTTTTTAAGACACTTATATAAACAACCATTTATGGTTTTTTTCTTTATGACACTTATATAAACAACCATGTATTGTTTTGTTCTTTATGACACTTATATATACAACCATTTATTGGTTTTTTTTTTATAACACTTTTATAAACGAACAACCATTTATTGATTTTTTTGCTTTATGACACTTATATAAACAAAAATTTATTGTTTTTTCTTTATGACACTTATATAAACATCCATTTACTGTTTTTTTTTATGACACTTATATAAACAACCATTTATTGTTTTTTTTCTTCATGACACTTATACAAACAACCATTTTTTTTTTTTTTTTTTTCTTTATGACATTTAAATCAACAAAAGTTTATTGTTTTCAAGCATGTTATTTTATCACAACACTGGGCATTTCCAGGCATGCTCTATGAAGCTGCCGCCATCTCAAAGCATTTATGTTAAGAATATTTAATGCTGGTGCTTTGTATCTGGGTTTGTACAGAGTCAGATATACGGCTTCACGTTCTATTGTGTATACATTAGAAAGCAATGAGTCACTTTCCAAAGGGAGCAGTTGGAGGCAATTAAGTGACTGTGTTGTTATTTTATTGTGTATTATTGGTTTGAAAAGCTGCCCTTTGATCAGTCTCATTTCTTTAGCCACACTACTGCCAAATAATTCAATATTAATGATGAAACGTGAAGCCATATTTTTGCTACAAACTGTTAGTACAACAAACACATGATATTCAGTATCCCTGTTCAATCCTAAAAGTGAAACTAAAACTTACAATATTCAATGCCCAGGATGACATCACGGAAATAACCACGTGAGACCTCTTCAGAAAATGGAGTTTCACAAGGAACCGTCATGACCTCCCTGTGTAAAGGAAAGACAATGATCCCATTAACGTTTACAACCTTAGTGGCTTCTGCATATGTCAACCTAAAGAGGCAATAACCAATTCTAAAGGGGCAATTATCACTACCTATCTATCCCTGTATGGGTTCTGGGGTCCCGTTGTGGGGGAAAACAAGAACAAACCCACTGCCTGCCAAAAAGCATGTCATAAAAGTCGACTAATTGGTAGCTTCCTTCAAAGTTGGAGTACATCTGGATAAGAGGCGAGAAACCAACAGTCTGCATGCAAATGAGTCAGACCTGTGAAATGGATGTACACGCAACACTCAGGTTCTGGAACAAAACTAGAGTCCAAAAGTAAAAAAACAACCATAACCTTCTGCCAGATTTTACTGCTGGTGACGCGAAGAAGAAAAAGACTTCTGATCTGGTAACAACCACTACTGATCTAGTTAGTTATTTGCGTATCCTTTACAGGACGCTGCAGAACCAAGGTCAGCATTTTTTAGCTGTTGTGGTTTTTCTAGGCTAAATTTACGTCCAGTAGTTTGCCATTGCTTTCTAGATGGTCAACTTCTCGATAACACTGTTGAAACCTTCGCAAGGCGCAAGACCCGCAGCTGGGATTGAACCCGGCTCCCAGGCATGACGAAGCGCGTTCGCAACACCTAAGCCACAGATACCGACACTACTGATCTAAAGAGGGGCAATAAAAACTACTGACGTAAAGGAACAATAACCACTACTGACCTAAAGGGGCAATAACCAATACTAACCTAAAGGGGCAATAACCACTACTGACCTAAAGGGGCAATAACCACTACTGACCTAAAGGGGCAATAACCACTGCTGACCTAAAGGGGCAATAACCACTACTGACATAAAGGGGCAATAACCACTACTGACATAAAGGGACAATAACCACTACTGACCTAAAGAGACAATAACCACTACTGACCTAAAGAGACAATAACCAGTA